ACAATAATAATAAATTTTGTCTTCATACTGGCTACTAAATCAATCACCTCACATGTTATATACCTACTGCCTCTATGATCTCTAAAATTAATGACATAGTTTGAATAAAAAGTTTTTCTCTACAAGTAACAGTTTCGGAGACATTATTCACATGATTTACAAATGTTGGATAAAAAACCAGTTTGAACGTAAATTCGACGCGCCAACGTGAATATTGCATTAGTTTATTAGCAAATTAAGAAATACAACAACTTTTAAAGAACATCGCTTCTGCTTGTTTTTTTTCTACGTCAAAATACGTAACCAGTGCGAAATCAATATGACGTCCGTTAATTTTTATATTGTTTAGAAAATCTTTGACGATTGGTCATCATATTACAGAAGCTATATAGTCATACGACAGTGGTGCAAGCGGTAGGGATATCAAGTACTGAGAATTATTAGTAAAACAGCATCTTACGCAATGCAGCAGAAGGATATCAGTATAAACAATGGATTCATTATTGGCAACTCTTTGTAGGGAAGCAAGCGTAATACATTGACATTTCCAGAAACTGCCATGCAATTGTGAAACCAATCTGTTGTGTCGTACGAAACAAATCGATAGCAGCACAGCATTAGACATTTTAAATAATATTGCTTCTTATCGATAGAATTAAATATATAAGTAGGCTTTTGAGGCAAATATTGATATTTTATTCAAAAGTGTCAAAATTGCCCTTGTTATTTTATGCAAAATTTTGTAGAAATTAAGTTCTTAGCGTGTGTGTGTGCATATATACGATAAGATATAATGACGATCCAATGAAATCACAACTACTTCGCCAGACACAAAATTTATTTGTGGCTAAGACATCAGTATTAGGTATTTAAAAAGTTATGAGTCTGGGAAGACAGACAGAAAGAAATGTGAACAACTGCCAATATGGATGAAAAAGTGTAGCATAAAACCGGTAAAATATCGATTACTTGGGACATCATTTTCGTATTAAGTCGATAAGGAAAACGTTGAATAAATTTTTAATGAGTTTATAGTTAAGAGACGCAATAGAAATTGATAATAAATTTGGTACTATCGATAATTATTAATTAGTAAGTAATAGCAACATGGTTGAACGCAATTTTTACTTATTAGTTTTCTGCGATTATATATTTCCATAAATTGTGGCGACAATATTATGATTGAGAGTTGTTATTTTTGTCAAAGTTGGTTCAGAACGACAAAAAAAAGTATCAAACACCTAGTTATTTTCTCCTGTACTCATAATAACATGGCGGCATATTTCTCCAATTTGTGAGCATTTTTTCGTCTTTCAGTATTGCAAGACAATGACATACATACCCAGTTCTGTTTTTTATTATAGGTCAATAAGTAAGTAAAAGAAGTTTGTTGGACATACAGTAAATGTACACCTTAAGCTAAGCATTAAGTTAATAATGTAACCTACAAAGCTATGGATACAGCACCTTAGGTAAACATTAGAATGTAAATCATTAACTAAACACAAATGCTACCACTACCACTAAGTGCATAATTACTAATGTTCAGTTCCACACCTAGTTCCATGAATTTATTTTTTTATTATAATATACTATTTGAGCCCAACCATGAAACTTGATATTTATAAACATTCAGTTAAATTAAACTTTTGAAACTAAAAACACCTCCCAATCAACCCATTCAAAATTATATGAATATGAATTCCTTATTGGAACTTGATATGATCCCTTTTTAGCATAAGGTTTTGAACCTGCTGCTGGATTACCAAAATATAAATCGCGGCCACTCCCAAAGATCGGATAATGTTCAAAATAATCAATAATGGCCCTTGAACTCATATTATCATTAACAAAACTTACTATACTCTTCTCCAAGTTTCTATCTAATGCAAATAAAAAACTTTCTGTAGTATTAAAATCATTATTACCAGTTTGGAAACCCCATGCAATTGGATTATATCCACCAAGTATTTCTTCAGCACCCTGCACTTTCCCAACAGCAATTGTGGGTCCTTTGTTATTACATAATTCTCTAAATTTTGTAATTGTATCACCATCTCTACTTCTTCTATAAAGTAGAGTAAGTTTATAAACATCATCTTTCTTCATAGGAGTCCTTTGATTCCCTTGACATCGACTTGTTGATTCTGTAATCTTTGATAAGATCCATCTTGCTTGCTTTCTATTAATAATAAGTGAATCAGTTTGTCCCATTCTTGGTGGCAACACATGAGCATTTGGTTTATAATCATTATCCACAAAATAATTGAGTACATCACGACACAAGTCTCTTGGTAATAAATCATTATATAGAATAACCGTTTTAGGTGACATATTGAAAAATCTTATATGAGGTATAAGATCTGTTACAATATCCTTGACAGTGTTAATGTCATTAGATGACCAATCTTTGATATCATTTCCAAGATGTAGTTCAGGTACTTGTTTAGTAGCCCATTGTATAACTGACATCCAAGCCTTATCTTCATCCATGTTAAGCTCATCACTCTTGAGAATAGTGATCAATGTTGCCTTTGGTAAGACTGCAATATCATTTGATTTAAAGATAATATCCGGTTGTGAAACCAGGATCTGGTTGCAATAATCAAGAAGTTTGTTCAAAGAGGTAGCAGAGAGAGCAAACTTATGAACTGCAAGAATATTTTGTTGAATCCATTCCTGTTGGTTGTCAATCAAATAGGTTTCAAGTGCAGTGAGTAGATCAAGCAGTTCAAACTTGCTAGCTCCATCCAGAAGGCTGATCCAACCAATATTGTTGCATAAATCATAGAACGTTTGCCCAGTGTAGATATACCTATATGATGAAGCACAATGAGAATTAATATCAACTCATAAATATACACATTTTCGTAACAGTTTTTACCTGAGCAATATTTCGAAAACATCAGGAGACACATCTTCAAACATTATGGCTGCTTTTTGAACTTCTTCAGACGTCTCTGTATTGTCGGTTAAGCTATTCTCAAAAAATTTGCTTCTCGCACATAGCACCAACGTATGAGCAAGAAATATTTTGCTATTCGGTTCTCTTCCAACATGGATCGAAATATCTGTATATTTGCTACTTTCATAAATCTTCTCATAGTCAACTGAAAGACCTGAGGACAAGTCAACAATTTTATTCATTTTTACAGAGTTTCAAAGACGTTCGGGCGGTAAACGTTATTCGATTAACAATCCCTGTGTCACATGAGTCAATGGTTAGTGCGACTTATCATCTCATATCTGCGAAATCAGATCATACTCTCCATTCCCGCACCGCTTATCTGTAATCTTGCTAGTCAAAATCCAATATCTGGCCATGTTATCGAACATTGCACGCCGCACGTTAACCGGCAATAGTTGGAAAAGACTACAATATCAGAGAAGTTAATATGCAAAGAAATGGTAACAAGTCAAGCTTATTATCAACTCACTTGGATCAAAGCATCATATATTTGAAAAATGATTCTCCTACAACGACAATTCGCAGTAAGAACACTTCAGTCTTTGAACACACATGATCGAGAATTGTGGTTATTGATCTCGATTTACATCAACACATCTATAAATATTAATATAGACATTTAGGGAGGATAACCTTAGGAGAGGAGTATCTTTAAATATCAATCTCAATTACGAGAAGACTATCTGTTGCAACTACCTCGCGTTCTCATATTATCCTTCTCTTCTTCAATGGTTACGTTCACACCCCGAATTTACTCCGGCTGATTCAACGGCACCCAACAAAATAAAAAGAGAAAAGCATTGCTACACAGCGTGCGTGATAATATTTTTTTTGTCTCTCCATAATGCCTATGGCAACTACGCCATCCATGCTATCCATGTAATGTTCGTTGTCATTTCGGCAACAATGTCACGTTCCACATACATACCTAATTTCGAACGCATGGGTAAACGTTTGGGAGGTACATAATTTACTACATTCTATAGGTATTGACATAACTATTGAATTGCACGCATAATAGAAAAATCTATACACGTTTGCGTTTGCACAGTTCCGGAAATTTGACTAATCAGAAATTGGAGCAGGGACGTATGCACAATATGCAAGTAAAGTTATGCAGGCGAGATTAGCATCGCGGCGCGCACGGTTTGAAATGGTTATTACTTCTATCAGCGAATAATTTTTTATGCAAATGATTACTTGCCTTACATATACCATCTCCGATACGTCTTGTTTTGATATTTCTATAGGGCCGATAAGCAAAATAAACAGTTTAATTGATAGTTTTTGGTAAAGAGTTGTATGCCATGATATGACATTGTACAATAAAATAGGATTCAGTTAACTGCTCATGGATAGATGGTAATGTTTTGGTATTGGTTGGTGTGTGAAGTATATGGAAATTGCATTTGTAATAATATTCTGAGACGCAAATCGGCAATCAACTAGTTTTATTTATGGTAACGTAATCTGCTAAACACGTATGTATATATTCGCAGGATAGACATGAGAATAAAGCGATGTCACTTTTGTTACTATAAAAAAAAGCACGATTTATGAATAAATTCTGACCGCAAACTCTACGCTTTTACCTCGCTACAAATTCAAAACGCAAAGTTTGTGAGGAGAGTAATATTTTCCCGAAAGTAGTAATCTTTTTTTGTCGAATATATTGTACGGTTAATGTAACAGAAGAAACAAATATCATGTTAATAGCAATTTGCCCTCATAAACAAGTTGATCAATCCAAGACGCCTCAGTTGTGAGTTTAGCAGGCTGATAGCAGCCACACACGCTAGTTGCCTACGGCTAGATTTTACCATATACGGTACATACAGGTACCCAGTTTTATCAAATCACAAAGTACACACGTATTAAATGTAGTCATGTTATCACTATAGGAAAATTTATTTGTTTGCTAAGATATACTATTACATCATCATAACCTTTGTAAAGAGAGAAAACTCTTTACAAATTGTTAAACATTTATGAATATATAAGCATAACAATGAACTAACTAGTCTTGGTTTGATTAAAGTCTGTCTAGAACAATAGAGTTAGGATCGCACTTTACGGCATGCTTCACGGTTGCAACGCCCAAGATTTCATGGCCGGTGGAGCCTTTATCCTTTGCTACAATGCAGCATTTGTCAACAACATCGCTAACCTTTTTGCCTTTGGCAACTTTAACGAATGGCAGATCGAAAATGTTATTGACATCATCCAAATCAAGACCGTCTTCAATATTGTTAAAGCTAAAGTCATGACACTCGGTTACGTGTACGTCAAACAGAGGCGAAAGTTTGTCGGCCGCAGTCTTCTTCTTAACGTTTTCAACATCCAAGAAACCGCTGATATATAGTTGGTCGTCAAACGTTTCCGTAAACTGAATAAATCCATCAAACTTGTTTACATTGCGTTTAAAGTTGTGCCTAAATTTCTGGTTCTTCTCAAATACACAGAGAGCAATTGGACAACATTGATTATTCCACTTCTTTTCAAGACCAGCAGCAGTGGCTGGTGTAGAGATTACGGCAAGAACGGTAACCAAGAGAAAGATTAGATAGACGGTTTGGCTCATGTTGATAGGTTTCTTTTGAATAGAGCAAGTAATGTATTGTTATAAGAGGGATCTGTTGTTGTCAGCTTTGATTTAATCAAAGTTGTCGATTTCTTGTGAGTTGTGGAAAAGAGCCTGGGTCGTTTATATAGCTGTGAAAGCCGGGAAATCAAGCAATACCAAACAATATTTAAACTACGGGAGTATGAAAAATTTAAAATAGACAGTCGAAGTTTGGCAGAACAAACGCATCACGATATTGTTAGTAGTCAGATTTGCTATTTTAATGACAAAGCGCGTAAAAGCAAAGTATACCATTCAAACGTCATTTTGGCCGTAAAAGGTGTCAAAATCAATGCGACAATAAACAGTGGGAAAATTTTACCTGATTGTGCTGTTAATCGAGTCTTATTTGGAGGCGTTGCACCAGACGGAAACGGAGTTTGTGCATAAATATCTCTATTGTTTGAAACAAATAACTTCTAATGACTGCGCTTATATTAAATGAATAAAGAAAAACAGTGTTTGGGCCCGATATAATTCCGTGCCTCCGTAGAATTACCCAAAAAAGTAATGTCGTTGATAAACATGATGTAAGTGTTTTGAGGTTTCGACGCAGAAGTTTCGATTATTTCCAGAAAAATTCATTAGTCATTTACTTCTTATTTCAGACAACACGGTGCTTGTCTGTACAGCTGCGTAATCCTTAACAGTAGAAGCGATCGTCTGTTACCTTGCGGGTAATAACAAAAATCTGTAGGTGGCGTTTTATGGAGTGTCGTTGTTTAGTACAAGTACTTACACATTTACATACAGTATTTTTCTTTGTAGAATGGCGATAGGCATTTGCTTTATTAATCGCAGTACTAATTTGGTTAGCTTGACATTATTGTATGTACCCATATTAGGTGTTTTTCAAAGACTGCCGATTTAGCAGTCAAAGATGTCACAATTGGTTTTGAGCTACCCATAAAAAACAGTTAAATAATTATCCTTTCTTTCAATCCAATGTCTGCGCCACTAATTAATTTTGTTTACTTATTACTTATTCGTCTACTCTTTGTCAACGTTGTTTCAGTGATGAATAACAGTTTCTAGAAACTACCATGATTTCATTCATCGCTTATGTTTGGGAAGTACAAACTTTCAATGTCTACAAAATTAGTAAAAAGTAAAAAACAAGGCCGATGTGAATGTAAGACAAATTAAAATAATGTAAGTTAAACTCAATTTTTATTCATGTCACCAATGACGACGAAAGGTAAAGAACGAAAATTCGATGATGGGTTTGAAAGATTTGTGTTACAACAAAAACTTGTCAAACTGGTTTTAATACTATTGTTTCGTGAACACAAGTAATATCAATGCAATTGTTGACAGAAAAAGCCCCCTTTTCATAATCAAGCGCTTTAACAATTGCAAATTTGTCATATTTTTAATTGTTATGGGTATTGTGTATTACTGACAGGTACATGGTCACTGCACTGTCTGTATTCACATTCTCACCCCTCGCTTCTCCCATTTTCGCAGTAGATATGTAGTCGTGATGTCAGTTCGTCATCACGTCCGCTTTTTTCTATTTTTATTGATCGCTTTTAATATTAAAACAATAACAATACAACTATTATAAGTCGTTTAGTAGTCAAATATTAACAAATCTTGACAGCCGAATAATTAAGCATCATGTGCTATTCTCTTAAAAACTAAATGGCTTCTATTGTTCAACAGATTTACATGATAAACACAATTCATGTTTACAGTCAACGAACTTTGTATGTTTTGTGTCTGAGTTCAGGACCTGTCTCAGTTCAAGAACCCAGTCACTCAGTTGTCTCGGCTCCGAAACCAGACACTCATAACATATATTTGCTGTTTTAATTGTTTACTAAATTTATCATTTAAGGCTTGTGAGCAGCAGATAATATTTACCAACAGATATTGTCTATTGTCCAAATCTTTAGAGTTGTCTGTTCGATGATGGTGTTGTTTATTGCGATTGGCATGATTTGCAGACGATCGGAAACAAAACAAATGCGGATGCAAATAAGGGTTATTTTGTATAACGCACACTAAGCCGATTTAGGTAATATTACAATGGGAAAGGGGATAACCAAAGTCAGATGATCTCTAATGGTAAATATGATGTTGTTGACGAAGAAGGTTAGAGAAAGCTAAGCCTTGTGTACAGTAATTTATGATGTGCGGTAATAAAAAAGTTTGCATGTTGCATTAGTGATATGACTGTTAGTATTATCAGGAAAGCAAAGTTGTCATTATGCGTTATGAACTTGAACTTGTTACATCTGTAAGTCTGTTTGCTTGTATTGCGGAAGAGGCCAGGTAAGTATGGTGGAAAAAACAAAACGCGACCATCCACTTCTTCAATTTATTCTTGATTGTGGTGAATTCTTTGCATTATCCAGAATAATTACGCTGTTCAGTTCTGGATATAAATTCATATTCGGGACTAAAATATTATCTGCATTATTTACGAGACATATACAAAGCACAGTTGAGCAAACAGGTAAGACTTGCCACTTTTTGAAATATAAATCTCTGAACTTCTTCTTATCACAGCCCCTTCAATGAAAGAGCTAGTAAAATTGTACAGCATCTCCCCTGAACGAAAATACTCCCTTCTGTGCTCTTGCATTTGTAAATACCCAACAAGAAAGTGTACGTTATATCATCAGCAATTATCAAATAATATATAAACTGAATAGTCAACCTTTTCCGAATAATTCCACAACGCTCATAGTGTAGATATAGACATCACCTTTCCAGTGCGTTGCTAACCAACTCGTCTAGATACCAGTCTGACTTTTGATCGATTAAAGCTGTAAGAATCTTCAATAAATAACCATTACCATTCTCGCACAGACACATTCTCTGCCATAAGTCAATTAGAAGCAACATAATTTATTAACATCAAAAACTTTTCTTCTTCCCCGCGTCCCTGCAAAAGGATTACTCAAGATTCACACCAATGCTAGAGCGAGAAATGCTTAAAAACTCTCTTATCTTTTTATTCGAGTAACCATCGTCGTAGTGACATACTATTCGCCAACGTAAGTTTTCACTAAGATTCTTGGCATATTGCTGATTAATAAACTCACTGGAAGAAACGTAGGTTACTTAGTTAGTGTATAGTATATTTGTCTACATAATCATTCATAATCGCAGTCGTTTCCACCCACCCTCGTTTCTCAGACTGCTAAGCAACCTTATACTAAGCAAAGCTGGTTTTTGTCCCAGAACACACTTAATAGTCGCTCTCAAGCACAAGTATTCAAAGTATAAATGCAGCAATAAATTATAGAACTACAGAGATTTTAGAATAAAAAAAATTTTTTTTTCATATAGGGAAGGATGTATATTCACACTACACAACAGTCAACCCCCCCGTTAATCTGAACCCCGTTTAACAGAAAGACTAAGTAATAACCGAAGATAAGTTCTAAAACCTCTATATTAATTTGCCCCGATAAACCGAATTTACTAATTGAAACCCGTTAAACCAAATTTCCCCCGACCCGCTTCGGTTTAACGGGATTCATCATGCAGATTCATATTTCTTCCTTATCATTTTATCTATATCGTCACGAATAAAGTATTGAACAAACGCTGTTGAAATTGCCAAAAAGTCTCGCGGTACCTCATCAGTAAAGTAAGATATGTTTCTAGTTAAAGACAGTACTAATACAAAAACGCATGTTTTTTACAAAATAAAAATTGATTGGCCACATTAACAAAATCAATAATGTTTGCAAAATGTTTGGGGCATAAAAGCAGATTACTATAGGAATAATAGATATTAGATCTTTCATAATGAGACCGGCCATAATAAAGCTAAATGTTAAAACGAACAAGATTCCAAACAAAACAATAAATAAGAAGTTAATTGAAGCAATCATATAATTGGTCACCAAGTAAACAATCCAGAATATTGGAATTACGAAAACGGGGAAAAAACACCAAAAAGACAAATATGCCATCCCATATATTAATATTCTCATCATCATCATCATCATCATCATCATCATCATCATCATCATCATCAATATCACCAATTCTCTGCCATCTGATTAATGTAATCAGTGCACAAGTTATATGTAAACACATGTTTACAATTGAAAATATTTTTGTTAATGGAATGACCCAAGTAACTGTATTGTACAATACATCGTCCAGCAGTGGTAACAAAATATTTTTTATCGAAAAACTTTGAGCATCATTGCTTTGAGTAGCATTGTTACTTTGAGCAGCATTGTTACTTTGAGCATCATTGTTATTTTGAGCAGCATTGTTACTTTGAGCATCATTGTCACTTCGAATATCCTTGTCAGTTTGAGCAGCGTTGTCACTTTGAGCACCATTGTCTCCACCACTATGTTTTTCCGAAACTTTTAACAGCAAGACAAAGGTGATTGGGAAAAGCGTGTTAAGAATTGCGTCGTATAAATCTTGGTGCGACGAATAAGAGTAATCGACAATAGACGCTCTTGCAAGTGAAATGAGTGAGAAAAACATAATATGACGGAGAAGAGAATTCGTAAATGTCTGTTTAACACAGTAGCGTTTAATCTCCATTTCAAATTTGAGAGGCTTTAAAAGTAATACGATAAATCTGATAAACTAGAAGTTGCCAATCGCAGATTGAAGTTTATCGGTTAGACCTTTTTGATATTGCATGCATATTTATAGACTTTTTGTTCTCGCAATTTCGGCCAATTATCTACTAGTTGCCAGACCACTTTTGTAGTTAAACGTACTAGTACCTAGTACAACAAACATTGCCTCACAAAATAACTGGTAGCTAGCATCTGGCGTAACGGAAGTTATAAACAATATTATTATGCCAATTGTGATGAGTTTGTTGATATCAAACGAAGTCGACGTTGATTTTGGAAGGAAGGGGAAATTCTTTTCCTCCTATTACTGTGAAGAGATAGAAAAAAAATAAATTTTTTTGTATGAATCATGAACTGGAACCTCCCGAATTTTCGTTATACCGAAGGAATTCTGGCTCTCCCGTTTTTTAAATAATAAAATCTTGTTATACCGTTACCGAAGTTAGGATTTTTACATGGGCTACTAATACTAATACTAATCGCTTTATACCACGAAGTTTTGTCACGTGATAATATTGTAGAATGGTGATTGGTTGTAGCATATGAGGATCGATCATACGATTTTTGGTCATACGATTTCGACAGTCTTGTGCCGGTATTTTTGATCAGCTGTATTTCGTATCTACTGTTTTTAAATTATATTCATCATAACGAATATTGCTTTCTAGGCCTAACTTCGTTATATAGAGGTCCCTCACATACCGAATGTCTCGTTATACCGAATCACGATGCCTCCCCCAACACTTCGGCATAACGAGGTTCAACTGTACATAAGTATCCTATCGGCTGTATCTCCTTAAAAAAGGTGTATAACAATACCTGGTCACATGTACTTTTGCAGGTTTGTGCCTCAAAAAATGGAGTTTTCTCTCGAAAAACGATATGAAATTGTCTTCCTGCATTATTGTTAGCCTTTGGGCTTTCTTGCCTATTAGATCACAGCTGTTTTCGAATTGATTTTTTCGAAAATCAGTTCATTACTTTTTTTATCTTGGCAATTTGCATGCAACTCAACTTGTTCAGTTGAGATTTGGGTCGAGAGATAATTGATGGGCGGGAGTTGTACTATCTATCGTAAATGGCCATCAAAAAACATCAGTAAAATCTTCATTAAACAATTCGTTGATCATCAGATTGTGTTACAAAGCAGCTATTAGTGACATTCGCAAAAATTTGCGAGTGGATATATTATTTCCCAACTTTGTAATAAGAGTGTTGTCAGTTAAGACCTGTCTCAGTTGGGGTTCATTACATAAACTATCGTTATACTTTTACAAAGCTTTACTGTACATACATTACACAATTGAGCAATTTTGGAACAAATATTATGGAAAAAGATACAGTGACAATAATAAGAAACGCATTATTTTATTTGCTAACGACGGGATATAACAATTGTGACAAGCCTATCATACGGTGTACCTCAGGTACAAAAATGACAAAAACTGCGAACCTGCGAACCTGAGTACCTGAGTACCTGAGAACCAGCGAACCAGCGAACCAGCGAACCAGAGACGTAATTCATTGCCATATATGGGATTATTAACCGGAGATCCCTTCTATATACGGAAAACAAGAGCAGTATCTCAGTATCTCAGTACCTCAGTATCTCAGTCCCTCAGTATCTCAGTATCTCAGTACCTCAGTATCTCAGTACCTCAGACTTTAGATCACTGATCCTTGAGATAAGAAAACCTAGTCAGTCTGGTTTTATAACTTATAAGGCGTCTATTAGATTACAAGCGGGAAAATTAAAATTATTGATTGGAGTCAAATCATTTGGTTATAGAGTTGGCCGACTCGTAGTTTATCATAACTCCTTTCATGATATACTAATTACTGCGAACAGAAATTTTCATTTTATTTCCTTTGCGACACGTAGTAAAATACACTTTATTGAGGGTTGATTAGGAAATTTAATTAAACCAGACCATCCCCCACATTCAGGACATTTGTTTTGAGCATAACGGCTCCCATTTAATTCATAGATAAATATTTAGATCGGCCTAAGCAATAGATAAAAAGTTACGCTATCTTTCGTTTAATGAAGGACGTAATACATAACGGTCAACCGACATCCAATACGTCCTTGTCGCTGACGTATAAAGGAAGGGAAAGAATGTATAATAATAGTTATAGCAACAATCTTCTCCTCTATGACTCTATATCTATTGTGTAGTGTTAGATGGTTTCTCGCAGATTCATTACAGCGCTATAACCGTTCGTTCGGCTTGGGTATAGTATGTGCATGATGATATGACGTACATGAGATAAACATATCCAATGCCTAATTTTGGTATAACACACATGTAAATACATGATAATAAGCTTCTCATTGGACGAAATCTCAATACGCCACAATATATTAACGTTTTGTTTATCCCTGAACAATAAAGGAAATGGCGGATTTGTTTATACTTTATTACCCAAATGGAAAAACTTGTGGCTTGCCTTTCTGATAATGGGTGTCAGCATAATCAAAGTAAAGTATTTTATTTGATATTTTGAAGTAGTCGGTTTTCGAAGAATCCCTCGACAAAAATATAACTACTTATTCCCGGCAGATTCTAAAGATTTCTTCCGCTGGTATATTCAAACTGATGTAGTTAACAATCCTTTCTTTTACCATTGTTATTTGATCGGATGTGACTAAGTATATATAATTACATAATGTCAAAGTCGGTTAAGCTAATTAACGTCATTATAACAACATTGTATTGTCTATCAAACATATTTATCGTAGACGTTATTTATTCTCAGTAACAGGTTATTGTTTTACAAACCACTAACAGTATTACACCGTCTATTATTGTTAATGTTTGTCATGCATATACGTTCGCAAGGCAAAATAAACCGCTCTTGCGTTGACTATCGTAATCTTTTATAATTGTTAGTATTATTCTGTTGAACTGTATATAAAGGGCTCTTTTATAAAATATAATGACAACAACGGGGGGAGTAAATGATTCTGTCGGCACTAAGGCGTTGATTGCTGGCGCTTTCAGTCATTATAGTTATGTATGGTCGAAAAAAACATTAATCGTCGTAGACATTCAAGGTATCATATACATCTATTAATATGTTGAAGTTGCTTGACAAAATTTTTAGGATTTCTGACTAAAAATTTTTCACAAGTGTATACCCGTATTTAACTGACACTCCGTGTAAGTGTAAGTTTGACGAGTACATTTAAAGACTGTGCAACTTTTAACTTCAATTTCCATTTTCTAGCTCGCTCGAGGCCGATTATGGATACGGAAACCTCCATATGGAGGGCATTCTACATTTTTTTAAATCACATAATTGTAATAGATTTTGCAAGTTACTTAAAATAGAACTGAATAGCAGTACTATTAAAAATCCACTCAAAATAGCTGGCTCATCCAGCGAAGGACGTTTTTGATAGCATATTACGTCCTGCATTAAGATCAACGTAATTTTTTCACATCTCGATTTAAAATATTCAGAATTTTTGGAAATATTGTAATAAAATTTTCTGTTCGCAGTAATTGGTATTTACTATATTCTGAAAGTAGTCATGTTATTATTAGTATTTGGTAAGATTATGTGCAACTACGAGTCGAGTAACTCTGTAATAAACAGTTTGACTTCAATCGTTTTGCTTCATTCAGTAATTTTAATTTTTCCCGCTTGTAATCTAATAGACGCCTTATAAGTTATAAAACCAGACTGACTAGGTTTTCTTATCTCAAGGATCAGTGATCTAAAGTCTGAGGTACTGAGATACTGAGGTACTGAGATACTGAGATACTGAGGGACTGAGATACTGAGGTACTGAGATACTGAGATACTGCTCTTGTTTTCCGTATATAGAAGGGATCTCCGGTTAATAATCCCATATATGGCAATGAATTACGTCTCTGGTTCGCTGGTTCGCTGGTTCGCTGGTTCTCAGGTACTCAGGTACTCAGGTTCGCAGGTTCGCAGTTTTTGTCATTTTTGTACCTGAGGTACACCGTACTTTTTGATCTACAACGAAATGTTGAAACTAACAAAATTCTTTCGACAGATCGTCTTGATCTGCAATGAAATTCTGGCAAAAAAGATCTGGCGAGTTTGAAATCGATTTCAACGTTCCATTTTACCTACATGGCTAACCCTTATTTAATGTCCTATTATTATATATTTGAAAGCAGCGGTTTAGCGATTTCTCGATTTGATAGAGAAAGAGCTGTACTGGTTATAACCCTGTCTATTCTGTTTGTTAAATAGTTACTATATAATTTTCAATCATTATTATATATAGCATAACCTGTTTTAATCGTTAGTTAACAGAAAATAATCCATCTTTTAAAACATTACAATTTTTTACCGAACAATAAATAAAAAGTAGCTATGATAGTAATAATAACTATACATTTATTTCACCGACAGTACATTTCACTGAGTAATTAATTACCAAGAAAGGATAATTCGAAATAATGCTAGGGATATTTGTCAAAAAAATATACTGTCGCTGAAATGAATTTGTTCAAAGTAGTACAAGCTGTGACATTTATTAAGGGTGAAGAAAGTGTGTGTTACATTAAACCAATCTATTTTGGAAACCAGTCTATTGGCTTGCATAACAAAAAGAGTAATGAAGAAACTGGCTGTGCAGTTAGTGTAACTGTGTAGTTTTACTTATATCTTCATGTGGCGTAAAATCCAATGTCAATCTCCTTCGAATACCATTCACCTTCTTCTAAAACGTTTGATGTGTTGGTTGAAGGTAAGACTCGTACATTCAGAAATTCAACTACAATACTTTACGAAAAGTTAATAAGGGTTTATTAGGACGGGTGAAGGAAGTGTGTACCGCCACAAAATCTGGGTATTATCTATCAAGCCACAAACATATGTGGGCCGGTTAACGTACATCAAAAAAAAAACTAATAGTAAGTTGTTCTTTCGTTATTATTTTTATATCTGTGGGTTTATTCTGTTTTTTATCTGTTTGTGTGTTGTTGTTATCATGTAAATTATAATCTTATTTTCAAAAAATTAACAATGTTTTCACTTTTTTTTCTTCTTTTTTTCTCTAGATGACTTCCCAATGTTCGCATAGTTGTTCGTAATAAGGATAAGAAAAAAGGCTCAGTGGAGAGTCAAATAGCTGCATTACACAAATCGATGCAGAAACTACCATCTGCACCAGCCGAAGTTAAAGCAGAAAAAACGACAAAGGGGAAGGACACGACCGAGACCAATCAAAAGTTGATGATATTGCACGCGAGACCGTTAAACGAAAAAGAAGAAAAGCGACGAGTGGTGCTGACGAAGACAGTAGTGAAAAAATGACGAGTTGGAAATAAACGCAAAATGACAAATTACTGATGAGTACTTTGGACGATACTAGTGACGAAGAGGCCCGCGTCCAAGAAGAGGGCATCCAAGAAGACAATGAACAGTACTAATAGTCGATAATATTATAAGTAACCGAACCGTTAGTAGTTAAATTATTTAAACTGATATCTGTTGAACAATGGATCACTCGAACTTGTCATTTCTTCCTGCAAGAGCCTATTAATAGAAAAAGAAAAGATATCGACTTGTAAGCCTATCTTCTATCTATTGGGAAAAATAAAGGAAACTTGTAACACGACTGAGTTAGGCTATCATCTAACGCTCGAAGTTAAACCATACCTGTCATCGGAGATGTGCGGACCAATGAATGTCGTGTTAACGCATCCAATAGACGGGCAACTTAGGAATACATTTACTGTTGCTCGAAAACTCTCTATAATGCAGAGCACAGGCGAATTATTCATTGTTGATGGGAAACTATACTGCAATGTAATTGAGATGCAGTCTGTAAATAATAGATCCGAATCAGTATCCACATCAACCAATGTCCCGTGGGCGACACCAAATACCGACAATCAAAAAAAGAAAAGCTCGACCGAAAGCAGGATAGGCGCAATCCATCAATCAATACAAAACCAATCACCGCCTGCTCCTGTAAAAATCAAAAAAGTACTGAGAACAGATAACAAAGGCAAGTCGCCCCAAAACCACACAAAAGTCAACAAAATAGCGCGCGAAATGGTCAAAAGGAAGAGGGAGACGCCTACAACAAATACTAACGAAACTGATGGAGAGATGAGTAGGGAGGAAGATACAGTGTTATCGGTAGAAGTTGTAGATATGTCAAAAGAGTCAGACGAGGAAGAAGAAAGTATACCACAGCGAAGACAACCCAGAAGAAAAACAAAAAAAGCAAAAACTGAGTAGTTGTTGCATAGAAAGAACCATTTTTGGTGGTTTAATTATCGTTATTAGAAAAAAGAAAGAAGGAATTTAGTTGCCAAAAAACGATTGATAGTTCTAAGGCTAAATATTATTCTACAATTATTATTTTTATTTTTTATTTTTCGTTTTCCAAACTCAAGAGAAAAACATTATTCAACTGAAACTCGTAGTGAAAGATGCTTGTCGGCTTCTCATTCGAATAAAGCAAAACTTAACTGATATAATAATTACTACATCCAGAAATTAGAAGAAACTGAGTTTGCCGAGTATGCTTTAGAAAAGGATGAAGAAGTCAATAAATTTTCTAGTAGACACATATCATTTCGACAAATGTTTACCATAACAATTTTCGGAAAAGAGCTACTCATGTTAACAATTATGAATATTAAAATTAACACATCCTTTCCCGTACGTGCGATCTCCAGTTGTAATAGAGTGGGAAAATTCATTGCCTTTACACTGCTTACATTGTATAATAAAATTCCCATCATAGCAAGATCATTTTCCATTATGCAGATCCTATATTGTGTGATCACCAAATAAAACAAAACTAACAGCTGAACTCTGTCAAATAAGAATCAAGAGAAATGAGTAGAAAATACATTATCGTCAGCAGAAATAATGAACAATCAGACATTGAGAAATAGAGTACTCCATCATTGCAACAGAAACGGATTATTATTATACATAAAGTTATTTGCATTACATTCTTAAAGTTATCGCTATGAAACAACTAAATTAGAATCAGTATTACTAAACATATTCCTTAAATGTAAATATCATAGTGTAAATGATTTTGATATAAAAAGAATATCTACTATCTACTTTCCAAATTCTTAAACAATGCTATAATAAATGATACAATCATAATTGGCATATGAAATTAAATATAAATGCATACACTGTTGAAAATTAACAATTTTGATATTCTTTGCATCAGTCAAATTATAAGTATTTGATCATATATAGCACCATCAATCAATAGTAATTAAGAGACGAGTATAAGCAATGAAAGTAGCATAAACAAACTGTTCTATTGCTATGACAATGTCCATATAGAAGGACCAATAGCACTTGTGATGCTGACTGTCATTTTATAACAGCAATTATATTAATCATTAATATTTTTTAATTATTGTTATTGCTATGGTCTACTGTTAAAACAAATAAACGGCTGTTCATTTTTATTCTTTTATGTGTTTGTAATTATTATAAATTCTGTTATTAACAAGCATTTTAAAAACCAAAAATGAGTTAACCCATTTTGAAATCCCAGAATAAAACAAAATATTAACATCAAATAACTTCCATGTAAACCTGCTCCACACATATCCAGCTGACTGATGAAATCAGTCAGCCTACCCAGCACACATCTAGTTGATTAACATATAAACAACTTTGGGACTTTAATCATGCATTTCTTAAGAGAGGATGGTTTACAATATACCATTCTAGTCCACTGAACTTTCGATCTTTATTGACAACTACAGAAAAATTGCTAAAGCTGTTTTTAGACAGCTAGTACATAATACTAATATTGTCTGGTGTGAAGTCCAACATCAACTACGTGTATTCTGGAATGAAAATACACATTTGCTCTGTCAATAAAATTGCATCTTGATGACACAAATGCGCTATTAACGCAAGTCGTGCGACGGTATCACAGTCTACTCATTGTATAATTCAGTGCCAATAATTCACGATAATATTCATATTAAATATCAAGTAATGAAATCAATTTACCAGACTGAATATTCTGCCACATTGGAGAAGACATTAGAGACCACAGTGGACATCAATCAATTATTAGTTACTCCATTGTCTTTACTTATTTGAAAACATCAGAAATCATTTGGCAGTAATGGAGTAGCAGTATAGTGTCAGCGTTCACGGCAATATAAAACGAGTACCGCGATGGGAAAACCATATAACAATTGTTAAAACGTTACCGCATCAGTAAAAAAAAATTCTCGAGATGCTAAAGTTCATAGATTACGAAGTCTTGGGAGAAATGTCAATCACAAAAAGTCGAACTGCTGTATAGGCTCATAAATATCAGCCGAGTAATTTATCTGGTGTAATGTAGTGAGGATAACTCGATTATTAAGCCGACGGAAAGATTTCTCCACTTATTTATATACGAATAATGACTTTCTACAATAACGCTTGATACAATTCGCGAGCAATTGGAATTAATTGATTACATTCAAGAGCGTTTTACGCAAGTATAACCGTAATATAATAAATACTGAGAGTTGGGTCGACTCTTATTTTGAGAGCTAATAATTAGTAAATCGACACTGTGTCGTTGGCTAACATTCTACTGTTCGAATATAATATGCTTGAATAACTAATTTAATTATCACAGTAGATAGGATATATTACAGCACTTTTCAAAATATTAAAGAAAACGAAAACGAAAACGAAAACGAAAACAATTTCAGCCAATAGAATCAGTTATACACGTAATTGTTGTATGTCCATTCGGAATGGACATATGTCAGTTTGGAATTTATGTCCATTCGGAACGGACATGTATGTCAGATTGGAACAGTAAAGACAACCAGGTAACAACATTATAAAATCATTTATTGGCATTACGATACCAACCCTACTTGCGTATAAACAACTGAGTTTGTTATAAATATATGCTATTTAACGTTTGTAAGTTTTAGCATAAGGAATAAATAATCTATATAAGCACAAGTAACTTATGATATTACCACTTGTATTACGTCTCGTCTTTATATTATATCGTTCGTATATATTTGAATCTCACCTTATGATACAATAAATATTACACATGCACTGCCGATTATGACAGTTAAATATGCTTCATAACGTTTGGTTACCGTCATATGTAATCATGTCACAATAAAACTCTGTCAAATCCCAAACCCGCATTTACATACGTAAAACATTGAAAGTTCAGAACGTTTATTTGGAAGACATTGCATGTATCACTGTC